CTAAAGTGGCGCTCTCTTCCTGCCCCCTTCTCTCAGATGTGTTTGTGAAGTGGATCAGATCAGTGATGGCCGGCGTTGTTATGGTAACCTGATGGAGCGCGCCATGGAGCTGGACCGGAGCGGCAGCTGGCGAGGAAACTTTACTGGAGCCATTTCCATGTTCGGTAAAACTAACCAGCAAAAATACGCTCTGAGAAAGACCCGCGGTACTTTATTGAACTATGGCGGGGTTTCCTGTTAAAACAAGAGATCATCACCTCAGAGTGTTTCAAGCTAACTGACAGGATATGACTTAAAGTGAGGCGTGGTGGTGATATCAGCTTTTTAAAAAAATAATAAAAACATGAGTCTGTGTCCCGATTATCCTGCAAGGTAATTTATATGAGACATGCTGTTTTTTGTACGTTCTTTGGTGTTGCTATTCTTTTACCGCACCTTTCCTTTGACCTTTGGTGTGTGTGTGTGTGTGTGTGTGTTTCAGAGGCAGGCTGTCCACGTCTGCTGAATCATAACGGACCCTTCACAGCTTTCATCCCCCTGCTGAAATCACCTCTGCCTGTAGGTCACCTGCTTGTCTGAATTTTATTTTAATGATCTCCTCCAGCACAGGAAGCTCCTGAGGGATGAAGCCATAGATTTGAAAAGCTTAATCCGCAACTTAAACAAATCTCTGGTGCTGCCTTCTTAGATCTGTGCAAAATTAGGAAAAAAAATAGTTCATGCATTTATTACTTCTAAGAAGAGATTCAATTTCTGCCATGTTAGCATCTCTTCATTGACTCAGTGATAAATGCAATATAAATCCTTTTCCTCACACACAGTTACAAATTATCAGGCCCCTTCATATATTAAGGACCTCAGTACCATATTATCCCAGTAGAGCACTTTTCTCTGAGACTGCGGGCTTACTTGTTGTTGAGTTTCCAAAAGTAGAATGGGAGGCAGAGCCTTCATCTAACAGGCTCCCCTTCTGAGACTCACTCAGAGGCTGCTCACAGACTCACATGATCTCAAATTACATCTAGCATACCTAATAATTAGAAACTAACTGATCGATAAATACAAAAACCTGGTCTTCTAAACCAAAATATCTCTGCAGGACTTAAATCAGGAGACAGTATGTAAAAACCACCTGATCCTGGGTCAGTACCTCTACAGGGATCTGACTGGTCGAGACTTCAACCTGTACGGAGGATCCAAGCTGAGGACCAAAGAAAACAAGGTAACACTGCTTCTCCAGACTCCAGCTGCTGTTCAAGCTAGATAGTAAAGAAAAAA